CACTGCTCGGGATCCGCTGCTACAGAAAATTATTCGCTTTCATCGCACTCGCCGGTCGTTACCGCGCCCTTCTCAATAACTTCGATCGTTCTTTCCCGAACGTGCTGTAGTACTTACCATTTTACGGAGCTGTGTTCTGAAGCAGTTTCACTTTGGGCACCCTGGAATAAATCGCATGAAAGCATTAGCACGTAGTTACATGTATTTGCCAGACATGGATAAGCATCCCGAGGAACTTGTTCATATCTGCTTGCAGTGTCAACTGTCTGCAAAATTCCCTCGCAAAACATTGTTGTGCTCATAGCCAGTACCAGATACAGCTTGGTCACGACTTCATGTTGATTTTGCCGGATCAATCAATAACCAACATTAACTGCTCCTGGTTGATCCCTACAGTAAATGACCGGAACTCTTCACTATGCACTGTATCACAGCTCGTGCTACCAGCTTAAAGCTATAGCATGTGTTTAGCCGTTTTAGGATTCAACACACTGCAGCCTCTGAACGGTACAGCATTCCTTTCCGCAGTACTTTCCTTCTTTTGGGAACAAAACAGTATCTACTACATCCAATCGATGTACACCGTGGAAATGCAAAGGTTGGGGACCGCCACCCGCGGTAACCCTTGGTGGTGCTCGACTAGAAGTCGTTAAGAAATTCTAGTATATAGACCGCTATATTAGCGCCGGTGGAATAGATGAGGTCGCGAACCGTATAACAAAAGCTCGAGGCGCTTTTGTCAATCTCCGCCACCTATGGTGTGGGCGCGACATCACTCTCGCCCTGTAAGGCAGAGTTTACAATGCAGCCGTGCTTTCAACCTTCCTGTACGGTTGCGAACTTTGGCCAATCAGATCGACAGACAATAAGAGACTTGTTACGTTCGACCGTCGCTGCGTTCGCTGCTTAGTTCATGTAAAATGAGAACACCGCGTGAGCAATGAGCGCTTTGTACTCTGAGGGTGCGGTTTCGAGTCTGGATAGGAACAGGGAGACCCTCGCAGTATTCTTAGCCCACGTGCAACTGCTGGTGGTTGCGCGGCGGCGAAGCGTCGGTACTGCGTGCCGCCGTAGTGCTGGTGCTTTTATTTTTTTAATGAGCGCGTTCAGTGTCGTGTAGCTGATGCAGTACTAACAAATGAACCGCTCAGCACGTTTTTTCACGCGCCAGGCTCCGTTGGCTGAGCCACGTGCGCGGATCTGCGCACCGGCTGTCGCATCGTGCATTGTTTGCGCGCCGGGGGTATGGGTGAAAAAAGAGGGAGACCAAGCGATGACTTGGTCTAGAGGATTGAATTCTCTCACTTCGAACTTGGCGTCGGTAAGTGTCTCCAAACTGCCGGGCTGGAGACCGAAGAATGATGAACACGTCTGATTGGATACACCAGTCGACGTGGCGAAGAGCCGATTCAGTGGCGTTTGCGTCGTGAGTTTCTTTGTCTCTAACTCTCCCCTTTACGTTCACGCTCCAACTATGATCTCTGTTACTAAGCAGTGTTTTACCTGGTTTTTTATTCTTTGATGTTTATTACCTCACTTTTCAATTTATCTTGTTTACTGAGACACAACAGTTGAAGTGTGTTTCTCACCTTCAGCTAATATATAACGGTGATAATGATGATGCATGTGTATTGGCTAAGGGTTATCGTGATGGTGGCAAGAAGTGGACGTAGGGTCTGGGTTTACGCCACACAGCCAGGTTACCCATGAAATGGATGTACCCTCTCCATTATGGGTACGCCATGCCAACCAGCTGCGTTCTTCTCTCTGCCAAACAACGCCTAACCACCATAACCTTATCGACATTCTTCTGAATTCTTTTGAGCTCTCTCAAAGTTCCGAAACCCAGGAAGAAGTCACCATACCAGTTATGTCAGTCGATTGCATATCTAGCAGATGGACTAATGGAATCAGACTGCAGAGTGTAGCTATCCAGCTGAATCTACAACAATATAGTCATACAAGCATCCAATCCTAGAGGGAAGTGCTAGGAGAGCTACCTCCAAATTAATTCACCCTTTATGTTGCAAACGTGTGTACATTAGCTGCAACTATTATTTCCCCCCATTTCAGCTCGTCACTGTTCCTACCTTAGACTGTGACGCTCTTTCCTTTCCACTGTACTACGCTCAATCGATCCGGATTTTCCACCGCGGGGATATCTCCTGCATCAGCGCTGGTTTGTCTTTTCAACTTCCTTGTGTTGACATTGTGGTTGATTGGAGGACACTAAGAACATGACGACTTTCTATCTCTCATGAGTGCCAACCCTTCGTGATCGTCCTCTGAAGTCACACAAACCCCGGTCTGATTGGATTAGGGTCAAATTCTGATTTCTTCAGATGTATTTTTCCCAGAACTGGTTTGCAACCACAAGTTCACCGGTACGAATCCGCGTATGCGTGGACGCCCTCGCAGTATACTCAGCTCACGCGCGAATATTGGTGATCGCATGGCAGCGAAGTGCCGTTACGGCTTACGACCGGCTATTCATTCATTCAGTTTAAATACCGAAGACCCTCTCGGTCTGCAGTTTCAACTCACATACCTTAACGTTTGCCCTTTGTAAATGACCGAATCTCTTGGAAACATTTGAGCAACACGTCTCGCCTGGTAGCAATTCAAAAACAAAGTAACACCAGGAGACTATACTAATTATAAAATCGGTTGCAAATCAAATACGTCCGAATTTCAAGAGTGCGCTTCTAGCACAACTCCGTACAGCAATTCCTGTTTTTTTAACAGCCAACAAATACGGCTCCAAGTGACACGTACACGAACCAAGTGTACCTCGATCCGCGGCATTTTATATGACTGATTAAGCAGAGGGAAACGTACTAGTCCCATATACGCAGATATGAGGTTATAAGCGAAACCCCCCAACAACGCGAGGTATTCGAAAATACAAAAGCTTTCCATACTCACACTAATGCCCAAACGACGCAAAGGGATGGGTACTTGAAACACGATCACTGACAATGCGATTGGTGGTGCCAGATGTCACATTCATATACGTCACTAACCTCATGCTCATCACTGTTAATGGATAGATGATGGAAACATGTAAGTTACCTAGAATAGAGCCAACTAGCCAAGTCATTCTTTGTCACTTTTCGACATAATCTCTCATGGCTTGAATGCACTTAGTGTAGCGATGGAAGTTCTAAGACTCCTCTTAAAATGGCTCCACAGCACTGATCAGTTAATCAATGTAGGCAAATCTTTGACCTCGGATTAGAGATTTCAGATTATGGGACAGAGTTGATGCATATATGGGGTATGGCAACAATTCAGAGCCACAGATCGCTGCTTCTAACACGGATGTTTGGGAACTGTGAACAGATGCGTTGTCATGCACAAGGACTGCTGCGAGCTTCGCTCTTTGTTTTTTCTCTGATTGCTTGTTTCATTTGGCGTTATCCCGAGGTGTAATACCGGTGGTGGTTTGAATCCTCAGCTAAAAGTTTTTCTTGAGTACACCTTACTTGTTCCAGAAGACAGGAGCCATCATCTTTCATGTGGACGCCGCTTGACGGAACATCTTTGGCGATGAGAATCCCTCTTTCCATTCTTTACTCTGAATTACTGACTGCTTCAAAATGATGAACCAAAGTTTCATCCAGGGTAACAAATCTTTGGAAAATATTGTGGGATTTGCCTTGAAAGCGGTCAAAAGTTGGCTCAAATTTTCCATCCTGTTCAATTTCTGACCAGGTATCAGCATTCTTGGCACCCATCTTTCGTTCGACTTTCTCATCCCCAAAATTTTCGTTAAAACAGTATGGACTGAGTCATAGCTAATGTCCATAGTCGTAACTATCTGAGAAATAGCTAACCTATCATTTAATATCACTCGGTGAATGGCTTTTACTTGACCATCGCACGTCGAAGATTTTGGGCTGACAGTCCGTGTATTCTATTCAATTCTCTTCTCACCCAGCCCACTTCTTAACAGTGGAATATAAAGGGGAGTTCCCACCAATTGTCCCGAGCATATCAGAATGGACTTCCTTTGATATCATGCCCCTTTTCTACAGGTATTCGATAACAACGGCTTTCAAATTTATTTATTTTTTAGCAAGTATGCGGCAAGTTCAGTTTATTAGATCGCCACTGGCAAACAAGTAAGGATGTAAACTTGAGACTTGGCACTGATGCTTCGGGGTTATAATACTTTTATAAAATAATCTCACTTTTCATTTGGTTCATTTACTTCTTTGTCGGATCGAAGAACTTTTTGTTCCGCCCTTGTGGTTTGATGATTCCTCAGAACACATCCAGGCCTGATAACTGTGAGCATTCGTAACGGTTGTTGCACAGAATCAAGACTTTGATCAAGAAGTCAAACAAGGTTAGGCTTGTTTGAAGCAAGGAATATACGATGAAACACCCAGCAGTCGAGACAATAATGTCACGGCACGGACAATTCGTATGTCCTACACTCATTCCGATTTGCTTTTTGTATTAACCTGCATACTTATCTATTTTGCCTTTAATCATGCACTTTCGAAATGTTCAAAGGGATAATTACAGCATACCACCCACTTCTTTCTTTACGTGATCTACGCAATAGGGAATGCTAGCGCAAGTACAGTGTTGTCGTCTAGTTGACCATGGCGAGCACCGCGCGTCTTGTTTTCGCTCTACCAGAAGTGGAATCGTTCCACCGGGTTCTCCTAGCTCAATGAAGTAATCAAGGTGAAATACTCTCGAAAATTTCTCTGTTCCCATCCCATATAAATTTAACTTACATTAAGCTGCGATTTAGCCCCCTAACGTGATCATGGCTTGTTTAGTAGATTTTATGCCTTCGTACCTTCCACAGACATTTCTATCCAGATACTAATGAAATGACTTGTTTTCCCAGCTTCTATCCGCTTCTGTTCTTTCGCCTATCTTCCAACTAATTGCCCGGTATCAACTGATAGCGAGACAGTAATTTTGTCTCTGCATGGTTACTGCAATGGGCCAACTTCTCGGAACCGGAGTCTACAACGAGAATGGTGTGTCAGCTGTTGCAAAAGAATCAGGTGTTATGGCCAAGCGTCTTGAGAATAAACTACGCGATTTGCGATTTGGTAATTGTCATTTCAAATGTTTCTTACCTTTCGGAGAACATGATGAAACACAGAAGCCGGGGACATTTGTGAATCTTGACTTACTTCCGACAGAGCTTGCACTCAACATACTATCTCATCTGAATGCAACGGACTTATGTCTGGCTTCCTGCGTTTGGTACAATCTAGGTTGTGATGACGTTCTGTGGCAAGAGTGAGTTGCGCGATCCTTACTTCTCAATTGTTAGCCTCTGTCGAAGAAATTGGCCCTTCTGTTCTTTCTACAAGAAGGGTTTACCTCCTGGAAGTACTTACCGCCAGCTCTATCTAAGGCTCGACGAAGCTCGGCTCACCTTCCGAGCAGACGCATTCAATGTATGTTTCGTTATATAACGAACGCTTTAGGGATTGAATTATTTGTTTAAGTATGGACTGTTGGATGATAACTTCAATGATATTGTTGAGTTTTTCCACACCGCACCCGGTTTGGACCCTGTTCAAAAGTGTCGTCTCTTTCATTCCCGGTTCGTTCATTTCCACCAACTTATCGTTTGTTTATAGACCGCAACTTCTCTACGGATTGTTAGATATGAAAGATTTCACAGGTCATTTCCTCCCGAATGCTCTACGGAGGTTATTTTCAGAATATCCCGTGCCTACTACTGACTCCGCTTCCTTTGAATTTATTACTCTTCTAGTGGGTAAATTCGCAGAAAGGTTTGTTGCGTGCAATTCTGGATTGGGACTATCCACGGGCAAGTTTCTTTTTTTGGCTGATACAAAAATGTTTTCCCAAGCGATCTAACTTTTTACCAACGACAACAGAATCTATCCTGCTGTCTGCATGTGTACGTATTCCAGCAGCAATCTCCTGCACGCATCAATTTTGATGCGGTACAATCAGCCGCTCGCTTGCCCCACCCACCTTGAACTCCTCGGCTATATGGTTTCGCGATCATTATTTAGCCGATCAACTTCATATGAAGTTCTGCTTCCTCTCTGGCGTATCGGCAATGATGCATTGCCTTCTGTACCATTGGGTTTCATTCCTTGGGCCTAATCTGAACCCCATTCACGTAAACTCATCCTGCCTGAAAAACAAACAGGTGGTTGCTCCCTTAGTCTTCTGACAGTAGACCGATTGACAAACTGGGCAAGATATCCGCAACGCCGTATTGATCCAATAAACCACACAAACTTCATTTCATCTTTGTGTTTTCCACACCTTATTGGTTTTAAGTTCATTTGTAGTCATCCCATATCAAGCAAGTAAACGGATAGAAGTCAGAATAACTTCAGTAAGCCCGTGTACGTCCATGGCTTTCTTCTTTTAAACTGGATATGACAGCCCTCGTTCTACACATGTAGGCTCACTTTGCTTTGCGTGCGGTGGTAAGAGCGCTATCAGCTATCTCTGACATTGGGCGTGCATTACCCTTGCACATACTAGTATTCTACTTCTCGCCTCAAACTAGGCAGCCTCATTTCCTGAAGGACTAAACCACCCAAATCTCGTCCGCGTGGTTGGCTACGGTCAAACGACGTGCATAACTTTTAAAGCTTTTAAAGGCTATCCATGAATGCTGTATTGTGGAAGCAAATGGAAACTTGAATCTATACAACTCCATCGAAATGTGATCATAAACGTTAGTAGCAAACTGGCTTGTTGGTGCTCTGATCGTTTTTCACGTATTATCGATAGAAAATCCGTTTAACTCAGTCGGTTAGCACTGTAGAGCGGAACTCAGGTACTGGTTGGGACGAGAACCAGTAGGGACCAATACGCACACCAATTATTCAGAAGTGAGGACGTAACCGGACCCAACCTCGGCCCGTAGCCTAGAGGTAACGAGCTTGTCTCGTAATCTTGCGGCACGGGTTCGAATCCGCGTAAGGGTGGGCGTCCTCGCGGTATACTTACCTGCGTGCGACTGGTGGTGGTCGCACGGCAGCGAAGCGCCGTCACGGCGTACAGCTGACACATTTTTATTATTCTTAACCGCGCCCAACACGTATTGTAAAGAGCTTCAATGAACTAGAAACAAATTACCTAGAGCACAGAGTAAGGCAGTGTGCGAATCACAGGGAATTCGAAAGTGAACCGGATTTTCCGTCATTAAAACAAATGGGTGATCAGAAGATACAAACAAGAATAAAATCCAATGCCACAAAATACTGAAAGCGTAAATCTTTCATTTTCACTACAAGGATCTCCCCTTAGAAGGCTAAACGAGCGAAGCCTTCTATAGATATGTCAGATGGGGGGCAAAGTGAGGATGGAAAAGTATAGTAGTTGTAGTAGGCGCACGCGGGCAGAGACGGCGCGCGGAGAGTTCGTTCGGTCCCGCTTTCTTTGTTATTTGGGTGGGGACTGGAGTGCATCATCGGTGGGCCGTTGAGGCGGACTGGTCGGATTGCCAAACTGGCTCGTCCAGAAAAGGTCAACAGGACATTTCCTCCACTGCTCCATGGTGCGCTTCGGAAATGTCACTTCCCCTATCGCGCTCGGAGTCCTCGGTCGTAACGATCATCGTCCCACGAAGAATCCTGGACATCGTCTTTGGGGAACCATTTCTCAAGACTGGAGGGCCAGACCAGCCATTGTCTCACCGATGGCGGGGAGTCGCGGTCGCTTGGATCCAGGATTATGGGGCCGGAGGCTTTGAGCCAGAAGATTCCACAGTTTCTCAAGGGACTTGTGTTCTGGAATGTAAAACAGGGTGTGTGAGTCGTGGTCAGGTTAGGCGGCGTGATGCTGTATGGTTAGCGAGGCAAGTACACGAAACAAAAATTTGTACACTTTTTTGTATTTTTTGTAAAAAAAAGGTTTTGGTTTTTTTGTCGTTTTGCAAAACATTTGTGAATGAAACACACGCTTAGCATGAAAGTGGAAAATATGCATGTCAAGGCATATAGTGAGCTTCAACCAAATCTGTAAAGCGGACCGGACGTTTGACCTGTCTGCCGCGTCGGTTAATTGCCTGGGTTGGCTGCGATTCAAGGTTAACAGAGAGGTCTAGTGTGTCTGGTGCGGAAGGTGCAGTAGCGAGTGAGTTTGCGTTTGCGGCGGTACCAGGTAAAATTTCGGGGCGAATCTACGAAAAAC